GACTTCATCAATAGACCTAGTTGTTAAATTCAGGAGCAATGACAACAAATTCAGGGCAAAGAGCTGCTGAGAGTGAGATCCTCTCTTTAGAATAATCAGAGATAGATGACAAAAAGGAGCCACACCAAATACCCTTTCAAAATGTCACTAAGAATCTGGACATAAGCAAAACAAAATAAGTACATTTTTACACATATTAAAGAAAATTCTAATTCCACCCCTCATTGGACTAGGCTTTGCTAAAAAATAAAAATCCAGCAACTTTGAAAAAGAGTGAGATGATGTTACAGGTTTCTGAAAATGAGAAATAATGATCCTCACTAATTAAGTGTAAAGTGAGAAAAACTGGTTCCATTACCCAGAGATTGTCAGTCACCTGATAAACAGACTTTAAAGTAGAAAAACTTTAAGAACCAAGTGTCATTCTTTAAAAGCCTATAGAACTATACATGCAATTTTTACTTCCTTCACTTGACTTATACAATATTAAGACGGCCAATTTTATGTTAAACATATACTTCTGAACCAGTTCTCCTCTTTTTAAAGACAAATTTTTTTTATTTTTTTTTTATTTTTTTGGATCCCAGGAAGCATCAACTGAACCTTACCTACAATGTTGGCAGATTGGTTTCTCTAAATACCTCAGTTCTGTTGGTTTGAGTTTTCCAAAATCAAATGACTTTTACTCGTGTTTTAGTATTCTTGAATTAGGGCAGGTAGCTGCTCACAGCTTGACTTCAAGTGAACAGGCACACAAGTACAAGACTCAGTCCTTTCCAGCGCCTACAGCTCTCAGTAAAACAGTGACAGTGTAGCAAAATCTTGGCTATTTGGGGTCTGGGATCATTAATAAAATCCAAAATCTACGATGTAGTCTCATAGTTCATACAGTTCTCTTTTCAATATACCACTTCCTCCTCTTTTTTTTTTTTAAACATGACTCTTTAAATGTTTTTAATATATTTTAACTTCACATTTCAAGAACGGTATTATTATATTTTATGCATTACTTTTTAATATACAAGCCACACCCAAAGAAGTTTTTCATTAATCACATATAAACCCTCACATTTAATCTTAATTTAAATTGATGAATGTTTTTCTTAATTTTAAAGAAAACCTACATCCTTTTAATGGAAACAACTATTTCTACCTAAAAAGTTACAGAAATGCACCGACAAACAACTTTACCAATGGCAAAATTAACCTCAAAATTTTGGTTAAAAAATCAGAAAGTTACAATAATTCCTATGCTCTTCCAGCTACCAAGGGACACATGAAAAAATATTTTTTACCCAAACGAACAGTCCTGGAAAACCAAAGGAATATAAGCTAGCTTTATGTTCTTTTTCCCCTCTATCCTAAGACTTCAATTTCCGCCTTTTATTGAAAGGAAATAAACAGCTAGCTTCCTGTTCAATCACTAGCTTAGAGCCAGTCTTTTACACATCACAGAACACAACCCGCCTCCTCCTTTACTTCTCTCAAATGTCTCTTATCTTAATTTAAACTTGTTGAAACATGAGACCATTTTACCACACTAATGCCTTCCTGTGAAATTTATCTTATTTCAACATTAAGAATACAAGAAAAGTCAAGATACCCATAGATTACTCCTTATTCCTAAAATATTTAAATTTAGATAACGAAGACTTAGTACCCATGAAAGCGAAAATTTGATTTGCTAAAATTTAGTAATATTGAAATTCATAGGCAACGGTTTAATCTTCTGTTCTTGCTATTGTACACAACTAGAAAAAGGACGTCACTCCTCTTTCTATTCCAATTACATGAAAACCTAAGACAGCTAACATGGCTATCAATAAAAAGGATTACCTTTTTTTAAAGCTAAATATTACTTTAACCCTATACTTTCTTTTAAAAATGGGATGCCTTAGTAAAACCAAGCTAGATGAATTCTTTTGTGCTTGAATGAACAACAGGAAAGCAAAGCCTCCAGGCCTTTGGGGAGGAACCTTGTCCCTGCAGCCCTGCTCTGATGTGCTTGGGAGATAAGGCTCCATAGTGACACTTAAGGAAAGGCCTGTTCACATTTGAATTTCTGCATTCCTCAAGAACAATTCACGGCAATAACTAACTTTGCAGAAGAGCTACATGAAAGCTTTGGCCAATGAATGAGGGTCATCTGCTCTTTATCACAAGGGTAAACCTCATCCTGGCCAGTTTCTAACCTTTTAACCCTGTGAATTCCTAATTTACACATGAATAATGGAATTCTTGCCTAGAGTGCAACTTTCAGCTTCTAGTTCCTAAGTTTAGAAACCAAGACTTGATTGCCTGTGTGTTAAAAATCTAAAACTTGCACAGATTAAAGTTTTAGATTTCCAGGTGCTGTAGTATTGTGCTTCTGTACAACCAAAAAATATGCTTACTGACAAAATCCTTGACTAAGAAAAAGAACACACTTGTACCCTGCTGCTATCAATACCTAAAAAAGAACTAGCTTTAAATTCAAGGGGGAAAAGAAAACCAGAATGTCCACTTAATGCCTATTATCTTCCTGTTTAAGATACATGTATCTCTCTGAACACAGGCTAAAGGGATTTGAACCTCCATCAACTAAACATTTCTTAGATATCACAACTTTGTTAATTTAAAAAATACATAAAATATAAAAACTACTTCACCATAACAGCCTGCAAAATGATTCACATGTAATCTTTTATCATTAGTGATAATTTCTATAAAGATACAAAAATCTAAGATATTTAAAAAGCCAGTTCTGACATTTTGTTTGTTACACCTATTACATACCATTCAGATTTTATTTATGAAGTTAGAAAGCCCTGTATTTTTCCAAAAGTATTTCTGGAAGCCCTAGAATTCTGTCAGGCACCTCAGGAGGTCCTGGAAACAATGTACAGTCATGACAAATGCTTCATCTTCTCATGGGCTATCTGGACACCTCCACTACCTACTCCCTATCCCGGGAAGATAAGTTACAGTTCCTGGATATGAAAACACAAGATTGTACAAACCCCAAAGGTGGAAAAATTACAACTCTATAGAACAAGTTTACAATGGACAAAAATTGAATGAACAGAATATAAGCATAAAAAGCACACTATCTTTAAAGCAGTACTATACAGAAAAACCATTACTCCATGAAAAAAATAATTACTGGCCAATGATAACAGGGACAGAGGGACAGGGGTGGGCAGGCAGGCAGAGGGAGGGGAGGAAAGGGACAGGAACAAGAGAAGGAGGGAGGGGGAGGAGGGTAGGTAGAAAGGAAAGAAGGGAGAAAGGTAAGGAAGGAGAATGGGAGGGGGAGGCGAGGGAGGAAAGGGATACGAGGAAGGAGGAAGGAAGAGGGAAGGGGGGAGGAAGGAAGGAAGTAGGGAGGGAGGGGGAAGGTAAGGGGAAGGAAGGAAGGAAGGAAGGGAGGGAAGGGAAGGAGATAGGGAGGGAGGGAAAGAAAAGGAAAGGAAAAATCAGAAATCCTCTCAGGTTTATACTATTCTTTGGCAAGGGTGGGAGTACGGCTAGAACTGCAAAGCTCTGATTTTTCTGATACATCAATATAGGAATATCTTTGTTTGCAATTTATTTTCTACAATTAATCACTACAGCAGAATAAAATAAATTACTAATATAAGGGTGGCATAAATGTGACCATGAACTGTTAACAGTAAAGACACCTAGGAAATTCCTGCCAACAGCTTTCTAAACTTCAATTGTATAGAACTTGAGACAACTATTTCCTAAAAATTATGCTATTTTTTCTTAAAGAGATGGGAGTCTCACTCCAGGCTGGACTCAAATTCCAGGGCTCAAGGAATCTTCCTGCTTCAGCCTCCTAAATAGCTGGGATTACAGGCTAACCACCAGCCCAGCTAAGATTATGCCTTTATCTTAAGAACTCCATCTACCTATTACTCAACTTGTAAATGATCGATTTATAAGTATAGTGCAAAATCTACCTTTTGTGGATTAACCAAAGCATGCAGGTAGAATGCCTTAAACCCTTTTTTTTTTTTTTTGTAAGTGGGTTTTCATTTTTCGAAAAATTGCACCAAGGTAAAGCAAAGCTCTAGCTGATGCGGGTGTGTTGGTTAGGTATTAGCAGTACTGCCCTCACTATGTGCTCATTGGACAGCAGCACAACCCCAAGAAAAGGATGATTAAAGGCCTTAAAATGTTTTAGGATTCAATTTTGCTTTCGAGATTTTTAGTCTATTAATCTTGAGACCTGTGTGTTTCATCACCTGAAAAAGGTGTAATGCCTCAGTGGGAACAAGGAGTTCAGTACCTGTCCTAGGCCCATCTTTACACTCAACAGTTACAGGTCAACCACCAAGCAGTGGATCACTTGGGCAAATGGTTGATCTGATGGGGTTGTTAACAGAAAAGAAATCATTAGATAGCAAACTTTATGGCAAAGGGGAAAAGTGAGGAGATCTGGGTTTAAGTCCATTAGCCATAATATGGAAATGGTCTTAATCTCTTTCCCTCCCAGCAGGAAGACTAGGAATACTTCAAAGGCTTAAAAGAGAGTGACCAATGCCCTCTCCTACAATTAAAAGGCAACATGGGTGATCCAAAAGCAGTCAGAGAAATGGAAGGTTGGGCTATAAGAAAGATTTAGCACTCAAGAGCCATCTGCAAAGCAGAAAAATTTGCTTGCAATTGTTTCATTAATCACAAATTTCCATAAGATTAAATTTTAGAACAACTTTTGTTGTGTTGGCCAAACTTCTACATCCAACTCTTCATACTGCGTGAAACACTTAAAATTTTTATAAAGTCACCTCTATAAGTTTTATTTTACTTGATGTTCTAAGCCTAACTTCTGTTCTCAATTACTCATTTGAATTTATTTTTTTTTTCGGACTTCTCTATATGCCTCAGCATCAACTATTATCTCCAGTAAAATTCTTCATATAAGCATGACTTAAGGGGTTATTATATTAATCAAGCAAGAAATCATCAAAATGTAGCAATGAAAATTGTCAACAACCAAAAACTTCAACACTTACTTGATAAGGTAAGATGAGCTTTTTGACTAAGAATGGCTCCATATTTGTTCACTGCCAAGCACTGATAAAATCCTTCATCGGACTGCTCTCCTCGTCTGCCTTCCACCTCGCTGATGTATAAAGAGCCGTTAGAAAGAACCTCGATTCGTTTATTTTCAGACAGTTTTGCTCCGTTTTTCAACCATGTGACCTTAATAGGAATTTCTCCGTGAGCTTGGCAATCTAAAACGACTGGGTCCTTTCTTGTGACAGTTACATCCTGTGGTTCTTTTATAAAAAACAGTTCGCTAAAGCACCACACTCCTATAAGGAAAAAAGGAGAATGCCACATCCAGAATTATAGGTATAAAATGATTCCTTAACACACGCCTGTAAAACACGTATTCAGGGTACAATAAGACAAAGTTTAACAAATCTTATTAGTTAACTTACAAACACCCTAATGAATCCATCTAAATTTCGGCAAACCGTTTCAACAAGTCAGAGAAATCACTTTTTACATCTTCACTAAAAGCACAGGGAAGATTTCAATAACTTCTATTCCTTGTACGAATTCTGTTCTCAAGTTCCTCGCTAGAGTTTCAGAATCATCAGGAAAACTCATGAGCACAAGCTGTTTGCTACTTTTACAAGCTTGTCAAAAAGATCTTGAACAGAGTAAGTCGTAAAAGTCTAATTTTACAAGAAATCATTAGCAAAACTCCAACTCTGTGAACAAGCAAGTTTATTTCTTTGTCCCTTGAAGTGTTTTTGGAACCCTTGGCACCTACTCCTTTGGGAACTGCGTTTATCTTTTGTGACAAATTACAAGTTTGCATTTTTCTATCTGCCCTTTTACAGCAGGGACTCTGTCTCCTCTCCTTGAAAGAAATCCATTTACTTAATTTCTGCAGAGCAAGCTAGGTATTTAAAAGACAAACAATAGACTTTGAAAAGTTGGTAACTCTTGCGGCTTGTACTCAGTGGGTGATCGGATTAGGAAACTTTTATTTCACTTTTTCAGAACTACCAACTGTTGGAAAAAATGTGTGACTAATTGGTCCTTACTGTCTAATAGGGATAGGAGATTGCTTAATCAACCAATACACATTTTTATCAGAGCAGAGGAAAGGCTTTATCCTAAGCATATACACATCGCCCCTGGCCCCTGCCAGGATAAAGCATTCGATGACCAACTAATACTCTGTCACCTCCTGCATTTAGTGCACAGGCCTCAAAGGCTTGCGTATTGATTGGGAGCGAATGGAGTATGGGGGTATGTGGGGGAAGAGTTGTTTCATCTTCCTCCGGATCGTTTTGGATCCTTGACTACAAATCCCCAGGAACGATTTGTTTCTCTTCAAGGCAGGTCCTCAGAATCCTCACTCCTCAGGACTCCAATAAGGTACTACCAGGGAGACGCGAGCCACCCTAATAACGCCCAGCGCTGCGCGCGGACCACTCCGGAAGACGCCCATTGTGTTCCTGAGCCACATCTGACTTTGATCCTCTTTTCAAGCCTAACAGAAACTAACCACTCGAGAAAAACTCTGGTGTTTGTAACTTGCAAATAAATAACCCTGTCTCCTGAACACCTCTCCTACCGTCACCCCAAATACTTTACACGTTTCTCTTTCAGGAAAAATGAGTTCATCCAAGTTTGTGTAAGACGAACCTAGAATATAGAAGAATCTTCAGATCCATACACACCTCAGGCCCTGACCACAAATACGTAGCTGTGGAAAATACATCCTATTTATCTAGTTCCAGCTTCGAAGACCTTTCTCCTTCCCTCGCCGGGGCACAAATCGGCCACTTCACTCCCAACCCTGCCAATTCCACCCTCCCATCTCCTCCTGGCTCGATCCGGAGCCGGAAAGCTGGTGCCGACTTGGGCTATGAGTTTACCTATTCCCTCTCGCAGCCCTAAAAAGTGGGGGAACTCCCACTGCAGACACGGGAAGCCGCGCGGAACCGCGGCGCCCCCTGCGCGGCGAGGCAGCCAGTAAGGAAACAATATAAATAAAGCCACGTGCGGCCACGGCAGCCCCGGCGGGCGGGCGGGCTGCCCGGAGCCCGGCTGGTCGCGGAGGCGGGGACGCGGCCGGAGCCGGGACAATGGCGCGAGAAATAAGAGACCAGAGTGGACAGCGGCCGCCAGAACTCCGCAGCCCGGGGCGCGCGGCAGGGAGGGGCGTGCGCCCGGAGAGGCTGCCGTAGTCCTGCCCGCGCCGCCGCAGAGCTCGCGGGCAACTCGTGTCTGCAGCCGGCGGCTCGGGACAGGCCGCGGGGCGAGAACAGGGGCCGGTGGTCAGCGCCACCACGGAGGACCCCGCCGCACGCTCCCCCCGTCCCACCGTTTCCTCTTTCCCCATCCCACTCGCGCCTGCTCCCGCCCCACAGAGGCACGAGAAAGCAGAAGAAAGCGCGCCCACCTGGCACGGGGCTGAGCAGCAGCAGGAGCAGGAGCGCGCGGAGCAGCATCCCCGGCGGCCGCAGCCGGGCGAGGGGTCGCAGAGGAGGCGCCATTCAGCGGAGCCGCGCGGGCATGCTCCCCGGCCGCCCCGAGCCGCTGTCCGCCTGCCGCCCCCGCCCCGGGCGCTCGCCGCTCGGCGGCTGGACGCACGCAGCCCGGCTCCCTGCTCCGGCACCGGCGTGGTGCGGCTCGACGCGGGTGTCTGCGGCTGCAAGGCGGGTGCCCGGATGGCCGCTCGCGAGAAGCCGGGGGCCTGAGAGTCCGGCTGGGGGCGGAGTGAGGCGGCGGCTGCAGAGGGCGGGGGCGGCGGAGTGGACAGCGCCGCGGCCGCCGGCCTGGGACTACTTTCTACATCTGGCCCCTGGTCTGGGACCGGGAGGTTGGCGCGGTCGGCGGAGGGAGACGTTGGGAGGGGGCCGGGGGCGGCCGGGTCGGGGCTCTGAGGGGGAGGGGATGGGCCCCGCCGGACAATGCACCTGGGGGTCAAGCCCCGACTGAGGGTCTCCGGCCCGCGTCCCCGCCCCTTCTGCCTCCGCGCCACCGTCGGGGACAGAGCCACAAAGGCCGCTGAGGATTGGGGAATGGGGAGGCCGGGGAGGGCTGGTGTTGAGAGACGGGGAAAGGCCGGAGGCTTCCCCTCTGATGGCCCTCGCCCACCCCCTCCTTCCCTCACACGCGGAGGCCCTGTGCAGGGAAATCTCACTCTTTCCCACTTCAGAGATTTGTCAGCTCCACTGGAGGCATCTCCGGGTGATAAGCCCCCGGAGATGCCCCCGTGCATTTGGGCACGGCTCTTCTCCCTGCCCCCATTAGATGCGGCGCGGGCTTAAAAATATCTCCGGAGAGTGTTCTCAAATGAACAGTCGCCTTCAAGGGAGAGGGTTTATTATCTCTTCTTCAAGTTAGTCAACTTCTTTAATTTGTGAGAACTGTGCACACAAAAGGCTCTGTCCTGAGAGCAGAAGCGAGATCAGGGGATTTCTAGATTCTGTGGGCTTGCTCCGAGAAGCGGGCTTTGATAGATTGCTTGGTTAGAAATTAAACTAAGACACAAATGTTGTGAATTTGTTCACATCTAAATTTCATTAAGGATAACAGGAGTTGAAACGTACATTTAAAGAATATAATCAGATTGCTAAACGTGTGGATCACAGAGCGCATTTACATATGGATTAACATTTGCTAATCCAAAACTAAATCTGTGGCACATGATGAGGGCACAGGCTAAAAGCTAGCCTTCATGAAGGCTGCTGACAGAAAGCTAGTTTTGGTCACCAAAACATCAACACACTGCCTTTAGCATGTTCCAGAAATCCTCCTGGCCCGGTGTGGTGGGTTATGTTTGTAATCCCAGCACTTTGGGAGGCCGAGGCAGGCGGATCACTTGAGGTCAGGAATTTGAGACCAGCCTGGGCAACATAAGGAGACCCCCCATTCCCCCAAAACTTATCTGCTCCGGTAGTCTCAGCTACTTGTGAGGCTGGGGTGGGAGGACCGCTTGAGACTAGAAGTCGAGGCTGGGGTGAGCTATGATCAGGCCACTGCACTCCAGCCTGTTTCCAATAAATAAACTCTCCTGATGAAGTAGTGAGAAAAAAAAAAGTTTCGAACTTTAGCACTACCTTCCCGGCTTAAGCTCGTTATAGTAAGGAACAGAATATTTAGCAGTTTCAACTTAACTGCATGTAAAACAGTAATATCCTTGGTATATTGCTTCTAAAACTCTATTTGAAACTTAAATGAAACTGGACTATTTCTAAGCATCAGAATAAAGGTGCATTGGAAGGGAAAACCTTTAGAGGTAATAAAATGAAATACTTGCGAGGATGTTTTAAATATCTGATAATTCAAATTTACACAAAATTATATTCCTGTTTGCCATTACACCTTTTTGTTTTTTCTTTTTCTTTTGAGATGAAGTCTCTGTTGCTGAAGCTGGAGTGCAGTGACACAATCTCGGCTCACTGCAACCTCCACCTCCCAAGTTCAAGAGATTCTCCTGCCTCAGCCTCCTGAGTAGCTGGAACTACAGACACATGTCCAGCTAATTTTTGTATTTTTAGTAGAGACAGAGTTTCACTATGTTGGCCAGGCTGGTCTTGAACTCCTGATCTTGTGATCTGCTCACCTCAGCCTCCACCCAGCCTATTTTTTTTTTTTAATTGTAGGACATTCTCCCTCTTCCCTTTCTCCCTGTTCCCTTTCCATCGATCCCAAGTGCTCATATTTCCTGAATAACACAGTACATGTCTTGGACACTTACATTTTCTCTCATGTATAATACTTGTCTTATATCATGTGCTAGGCTACATAAACTAATTAAGGACTTGTTATCTAGTTCTGGGATTCTCCACAATTTCCATCCAGCTCAGTATATAGTGTGTAACGCTGCAGTTGTTAAAAGCCTGGTTTGGGTGTCTAACACACTAGCATTCAAATTTCAGAGTTATACAGACAAGTCACTCATGCTCTCAGACCTAATTCATTTAATGAGACTAAGAATAATACCGATGGGGTCTGGACGAGGTGGCTCACGCCTGTAATCCCAGCACTTTGGGAGGCCAAGGTAGGTGAATCACCTGAGGTCAGAAGTTCAAGACCAGCCTGGCCAACATGGTGAAACCCCGTCCCTACTAAAAATACAAAAAATAGGAAGCTGAGGCAGAAGAATTGTATGAACCCAGGAAGCAGAGGTTGCAGTGAACGGAGATCGTGCCATTGCACTCCACCCTCGGTGACAGAGTGAGACTCCATCTAAAAAAAAAAAAAAAAGAACAACACTGATGGGCTGCTGTGATATAAAATGATGCATGGAAAATACTGGTGCAAAGCTCTATAAATCCTTGCAATTATTTTTATTTAGTAAGTAAATATTCTCAATAGTGGCAAATCTTTGTTTTTTCAGAGTGGGCTTGATATTGAAAAAATTTTAGGAGTCAAAGCTGATTAATTTGTTTGGTGATTATGCTGATAGTGACTCTAATGACTTCTTTCAGTAGTTTCTAAGCTGGTCCTGAAAGAGGTTAGAAGTGCCTGGGTGTCTAACTTCCCAAAGCTACCTCCTCGGAGAGTAAGTGTCATGGAGATAAACAACTACCTAAGCCCTGTTTGTTTTTGTATTCTAAAACAATTGTTTTTAGACCAGAAAGAGTAGAGTCAATATAATTAAAGAGAATTGAAATCTGAGGGTAGGTTTAAAAAACAGTACAGATTATTTATTTAACAAATTCAAGTCTTATGTCCCAATTCTGAGGGGGGGATAATCATAACTTCACCCATCAAATTATAGAGCTGTAGCAAATATCTTCAAACCCTCTGACCTCTCATCATTATCTAGTTCTATAAAATCATAGGGCCATTTGCAGAAGTGTTTGAACCACAGTGATAAAAGACAGTAAAAGTCTAGTGAGTTGTTCGATTTTTCATTTAACAAATAATTACTGAGCTGCTACTATGATGATTAGAAGACTACGCCCTGATGTGGATCACCTGCCATGATATTAACATTTCGGTAATCACTCCTGACGAGCTTAATATTTATCATCAGAAATATTTTGAAATTGATTATTTTGAAAGTGAGTTGTGGCTGGGCATAGTGGCTCAGGCCTGTAATCCCAGCACTTTGAGAGGCTGAGGTGGGCAGATGGATTTTGTCCAGGGGTTTGAGACCAGCCTGGGCAACATGGGGAAACCCCATCTTTACAACAAAAACAAAAAAAATTAGCTGGGTGTAGTGGTACATGCCTGTAGTCCCAGGTACGCAGCAGGCTGAGGTGGGAGAACTCCCTTAGCCTGGGAGGATGAGGCTACAGTGAGGCGTGATCAAGCGACTACACTCTAGCCTGGGCAACAGAGTAAGATCCTATCTCAAAAATAAGTAAAGAAAACTACAGGAGCTCTTTCCTTTCGCTGCCGCCACCACAACCATGAGTATGCTCAGGCTTCAGAAGAGGCTCCCTTCTAGGGTCCTCCACTGTGGCAAGAAGAAGGTCTGGTTGGACCCCAGTGGCACCAGTGAAATCACCAATGCCAACTCCCATCAGCAGATCCGGAAGCTGATCAAAGATGGGCTGATCATCCACAAGCCTGTGACCATCCATTTCCGGGCTTGATGCCCAAACACCACCTTGACCTACCAAAAGGGCAGGCACATGGTCATAGGTAAGCAAGAGGGTACAGCCGATGCCCAAATGCCAGAGAAGTTCACATGGATAAGGAGAATGAGGATTCTGCACCTGCTGCTCAGAAGATAACATGAATCTAAGAAGCCTGATTGCCACATGTATCACAGTCTGTACCTGAAAGTGAAGGGTAATGTGTTCAAAAACAGGCAGATTCTCATGGAACACATCCACAAGCTGAAGGCAGACAAGGCCTGCAAGAAGCTCCTGGCTGACCAGTTGAGGCCCGCAGGTCTAACACCAAGGAAGCATGCAAAAGAGAGCCTCTAGGCCAAAAAGGAGATCATCCAGACTTTGTCCAAGGAGGAAGAGACCAAGAAATAAAAGCTCCCCCTTTGTCTGTACATAATGGCCTCTCTGATTACATAGATCAACCATTAAAATAAGCCTTTATCTGCAAAAAGTAAAAAGAAAACTATAAATAAAAACAAAAGTGAGTTGTAACTATTGGGCTTGTAAAATGGTGCAACTGCTATGGAAAACAGTATGGCGTTACTAAAAATAATTAAAAATAGACCAGGTGCAGTGGGTCACACCTGTAATTCCAACACATTGGGAGTCCAAGGTGGCACATCATTTGAGGTCAAGAGTTTGAGACCAGCCTGACCAACATGGTGAAACCACCTCTCTACTAAAAATATAAAAAAAAAATCAGGCGGGCATGGTGGCAAATGCCTGTAGTCCCAGCTACTCAAGAGGCTGAGACACGAGAATTGCTTGAATCCAGGAGGTAAAGGCTGCAGTGAGCTGAGATCACACCACTGCACTCCAGCCTAGGTGACGAGGCAAGACCCCATCTCAAAAAAAAAATTATTAAGAGGGGCTGGGTGCAGTGGCATGTGCCTGTAGTCCCAGCTGCTGAGGAGGCTGAAGAAGGAGGATCACTTGAAGCCAAGAGTTTGAGGCTAGCCTGGGCAATATAGTGAGACCCTATCTCTAAAAACGAATAAATAAAATAAAAATTAGTGATGGTAAATTTGTTATGTGTTTTTTACCACAATAAAAATCATTGCACATAAATGCATAGGAAATGCAGTGATAAAGGATAGGCATGGTGGCTCACG